AAATACAGAAACACTGCAAACAATTCAATATGATAATTTACTGACAATCATTTTCATCATATTTATTAATCTGTCATGTTAGTGGTTACACAAAAATTCCTAGTACTGAAATATATATATGAATATTCAATTTTAATATAAACTATAATACTTCAAATTTTAACAGCATATAAATAGGATTCTGAATTTCTTAAAAACGTCATCTTCCCTGCCAAATTCCCTATTTATTTGTAAAGATTTCAGCTCTTCCTGAAGTCACAGCCTTCAATGTGGTGATATGGCAGACTTTAAGCATAAATCATGTATAGTTAGCGTTCTCTGTAAAAAGGTAAATGAAGATGCAAAGCCATATATAAAACTTCTAACATGGTGCCATATAGAAAACAATACACACTTTTAATCTAAGAGGCTGAATGGATTTAAGGCAAAGTTAGGCTTCTCTCAACCCCGGAAGGGTAAAGACCAAAGGAAACACTGCTGAGAGATGGCAGATGGTACAAAGGGGAGAAAGTGGTCATTTAATTATGTGGTGTCAGCACCTTTTCCCCCCACTTAAATTCCTAACATGGCCCTATACACGAACATATTGGATGATGGTTATCAATGCTTGTAATAACTATAAATGATCCCTGCCTTTTGGGACTCCTCAGTAAGCACACACTCTATTTCTCCCCAAAACACTATGAAACGTTCAACCTCTGAACCTGGCATCTCTCTTGAGGGCCAGGGAAGGAAGTGATGACCTACTGGGTTCCCTAATAACAGCTTCTAAACACTCATCTAGAATATTCAGATCAGTTTTCTGCCAACGGCTCACTGCGAGTGCTATCAACATTCTTATTTGAAATTCCTGACTTAAAACAGTGGATGCAGCTGCCATAAAAAATGAAAAAATCTTAAATATTGATCTGATCTTTTAAAAGTACATGTAACTTAAAGCCAGAGTTCATCAAAGATTACTATCAAGTAGAACTTGCACATTTGCAGGGAGATTTTGGGGACAATACATGGATACAATGAATGTATCCACTCAGTCTAGTTGATAAATACCTGGCAATAAGTCTGTAGCTCAACAGGAGACAGCTGGGACATAGACTATTCGGAAAGGTTAACTTCATTTGTAAATTTTTTTTTTTTTTTTAATTTTGAAAGGTAACCAAAAAAGATAGGAACCAAAAGTAAATAGCAATTTTTTCCATAATGGGAAACCTTTAGTCAAGTGCAAAATAACTTCTGGACAATAGTAAAGTCTCTTTTTTTTTCCTTACCAGAAAATATGATTTGGGGTCCTACTCAGTGATGTTATTAAGTCATATATAGTAACAGCTGCAAATTACAAAGGTTTTGCTACAAAGAACAAAATCTGACTGTAAATGGTCTTATTGACTTATAAGTTAATAAAGTAGAATTCAACTTGGCGCTCTAAATGCCAATTAAGGCATCCTGAATATATAATTAAGGGGTATACTACAAATATAGTTGCTTGAAAGAAGGCTCTGAAGAGCTCTTCCACACCAGAATCCATAGGAATGATACCCTTTCTAATATCAGAAACAGGCACAGACCTGAAGAATGAAGCTGGGAGTAATGAGGTGAATGAAGTTATCACCACAGGATTACGGTGCGAGACTTTTTTTTTTCCTTACAACCTAGAGGATTTTTTTTTTCAACTTGGTGGATTTTTAAAAGGCATGCTGCAATATGTAAAACCAATTATCATAGAAACAAGAATAATAAAAGTTATTATGTATCTTTATTTTTTCTACTTGGGAACTTGGATAATTTGAGATTATAAAGTACATTTTTTTCCCTCCACCATCCCTGAAAGAGCTAGCCAAGAAGCCACTGTTGAGAAACTTGGTTGCACTCATCCACATTACAAAGCACAGAGAACCAACATGAGTACAAAAACCACTCAAATCCAATAAGAAGGAAGGGCATTTCTTCATACTTCATGGACTTCACAGGAATACAAAGATTATTTTACTTTTCATACATTTACACATAATATAAGAAAAGCTTTCAGTTAACTGACAGTTTCCATGAGCTTGGTAGAGTTATGGCATAACAAAAAAAGTCACCTGTTAAATACATAAATGCTTTGTACTTGGAGATATTTTCATATAGACCCAAAATGATTAACTTAGATTTATCAATCTCTTCCTCATACTGATTATACCATAAGTAGTGTTTAGGGTGTCCACATTGTGCATTCTGAAAGTGTGGATGTGGTAATTCTAACATATATCTTCATATTATTTCTGAAAAGCCAAGGTTTCATTATTGAAATGCAGTTACAATTTTTAATGTGATCCTGTTTCAATAACTGCCATTACCTTCTTTGTGTAATTAATATTCTATGTTACTTAGAGCACATGTCTTGATTTTCTCAATGCTCATAAACACCTCATCTTTAGGAAACTTATTTTTAAGGAAGAGCAGCTTAAGTCTGTCTGCAGTATATGGCCATAACTTATAAATGTAATCAATAGGAAGGAAAAAGGACCATAGCCATAAACTGCAAAAAGTACAATTTGAACAAGCACTCATACTTCTGTTTCAAAAAAGGGACCATAGTAAGTAATGCCACAATAAATGCCTCACTATGAGAAAGGAGAGCTGGGCTTCACATCCATGCCTTATATAGCAAAACCTTTAATCCCTTACTGATCATCAGTGGAATTAGCTCTCAGACAACTCAGAGGAAGGAACACTCTGGTCTGTGTTAAACTAAAATAAAGGCTGAGATTTCTCTATACAGCAGCAAGTGAAGTAGAATTCTGAATCTTTCTTTGGAGTCAAGTTGGTCTTTGAAAGAAAATCAATTTGCCATTAAGAAGTTTTAATCTAGTAGGATGCCAGATAATGGCAAGGGTGTTTAAACTGAGAGTGTCATAGAAACTAAGGGATTGGTACATCGGAAAAACTACCTTCTGTTCCAGCAGAGGGTAGTTAGGGTGTCAGCAATGCTATTATTACTAGTAAGGACCACCAAGGATCTAGAGACCAAAAAGCTCTAGCAACACCTGATTATAAGGATACAAAGATCAATAGCAAGAGGTAAAAAATAAACATCAGATTTTTTTCATTATATTACTAATTTTTACAACATTAAATATTTTTAATTCCTTTATTTCAGTGTACTGATACTTATTTCTGATTGTGATTCTGCCTACTGTTACTATTTTTAGGTTCTAATCTAGTATTTCATTTTTAATTTTTAAAAGCATAAATGCTCCAAAGCATGGTTGTGTATATATGTGTGCACATATAATTTAACCTGTTAACTCTAGAAACATTCATTTAAAGTAGAAGAAATTGATACTACAGATTATATTATCACATAAAAAGAGTTTTATGCAGTCAATACCTGAGTGTCTGTACAGTGGAGAACTCCGAAGTAACAAGTAAAATATCATGGCCCAGTGAACCAGTGCTGTGGCAGGCTATGGTGAGTAACCAGCTTTTTGGAATCTTGAGAAAAAAGGCCACATGGAGATATTTATAGATATAATATGGAGATATTTATAGAAATACAGAGATATTTATTGAAATAATATTTTAGAATAATTAAAATAGAAATAATAGAAATAATGTTTGATGCATGACCAGATATTGGTGTTATATTTAAATGGGTAGTAAATACCTATTACTATGTTCTATAAATACAGTAAATTCTTAATAAATGCTATAAATTGACGGCATAAAAGAAAATCATGTACAGCTTTTATTCCTGCCAAAGATGATAAGATAATTTTAAATTCTGTGGCTCAACATAATTTAAGAATCCTGTATCTTTATGTTTGGTTTCTATTGCAATCAAGCATAGAATTAAAAGGCATAGCTTCTCGACTAGTGTCTTTAAAAAACATCTTTATCATTTGTACAAGAATTTCTCAAAAGTCAAAATTAATATGAGATAACAATAAAATACTTTGACACTTTACAGTGTTACCAGTAGAATTCAGGCTGCATGCCTTAAAACTGCACTTTTTACACTGTTTTCCTATTATTGTAGTTATATTTTGCGATGCCACTATAATGCCCCTAGTAGATGATATGTGCATGACTTATCATGTTAATGTAGTAAAATTAAATGTTATGTGTTTTTATTTATACGTTAATGTAATAAAATTTCATAAAATCCCAAAATTATAAAGATAGTTTTAACCAGGTGTCAGCAAACCATGACCTGTGAGTCAAATCTGGCTTGCCATCAGTTTTGTATGGCTCATCAGCTAAAATATTTCTATTTTTAAATGGATTTTAAGAAGTTAAGAAGGATGACATGCAGGACACATAAGAATTTTGATTTTCAAATTTTAGGGTCCATAAATAAAGTTGTATTGGCACTAAGACATGTTCATTTGCTTACTCATTGTCTATGGTGCTTCCTGCTACAATAGCAGGGTTGAGCATTGTGGGGAAGACCTTCAAGGTCTGCAAAACTCCCAAATATTTACTATAAGACCTTGACAGAAATAGATTGCTAATCCCTGCTATGCCCATAGAAAGTGTCTGGAATGCTGAATGGAGTGTATATATTGAAATCAGTGTATGACTTAACTGGGTTTCATTTATAGACATCATATACATTATTCTTTTTGAGTATCATCTACTTGGTAAACAAATAAAAATAAACTTATGTTAAAAAAAACTTACTCCTTGAAATGTTTAGGACCAGCAAAACAATCATATATAAAAGAGGTAAATTCTTAAGAAAAAATAATAAATGAACCATTTAAATTACATTTTTAAGTAATGATTTCAAGGTACCTCAGAGAATGCCAGGCAGTAAAGGACATATCTAAAAATCCTTACAGCAAATTTCTAGTTTCTAAAGTTCTGGGATATAGTACTTAACACAGTATTTGAGATTCTACAATTGTCATGGAAGAAACAATTTGAAGAGTTACTTATTAGAAAAAAACGGGGGTAAAGATTTTAAAATAAAAAAAAGTCAAGATTTAAAAAAAACGGCATGGCAAGCAATTTAAGCATTTTTTTTTCTTTTCCATTTATAGGGGGCTACATAGTCTGCCGGTGTACAAACTTGATAGAAATTTACTTTTCATTTAGTGGGCTGATTGCCATATCTGTGTCAGATAAAATCATAGCACTTATTATTGTTACCATGGATACCATGAAGATACTGCCATCCACTAAACAGTATTAGAGGAAGACAACATAATTTTCTGGAACTAGTCCTGTTTTGCCTTCATAAGTTGCTTTCAACCATCCTGGTTCCACTGATGGGTACACTGATAAAAAAAATTTAAAAAAAAAAGTAAATGTCATTCAATCAACATTAGCCTCGAATAAGTATATACATAAATGGGTAAAAATCCACATTAGATTGTATGTATATACTCAAGTTGTCAAAACAATGTCACCACCTCTTTAAGACTGGAAATGTCCTTTGCATTCATTAACCAATCTCTCCTCCTCCCCAATCCCTCCCATCCTTCTATCTTTCCCATTTCCCCCATCACTTCTTCCCTCTGTCTCTCTAGAAGACACAAGAAGAAATGGAGCTGCAGAGAAATTTGATGCACTCACTTGTACAGGTTATGAGAGGCAGCCTGGGCTAGATTCTGAGTCTGCTGGCTTCTATTTTCACTTTTTTTCCCTGCACTATTCCTTATCTTCCCAATCCATGATAGTGACTAAAGTGAAGGGAATCCGTACACTTACCATTAGAAAATATCGCCCCCTGTGGAAAGGAAAGCTCGTGGCTGTGCTCTGCTTTACAAGAGTACATGGCTTTGGCTTGGCTGAAAGAGCAAAAAACAATTTGTAAAACCCACAACACTCAACTCAAGTACATTTATACTTGAAATTATTCTTAAAAAATTATATTCGTTTTTAGTGGTAAGAGTATGATATACATAAAACACACATATAAGTGTGCATAAGAGCATTTTTCACAAACTGAATATACTGGTGTAAACAGATCAAGAAATCAAACAATGACAGCACACCAAAAACCCTTCTTGTGTTTTCGGGAAATGTCCCCAAGGGTAATTAACTTGGCTTAAAACAGCACAAATTGGTTTTTAAAGAATACTACTATTTAATAGTATCCTGGCAAACAGGCCATGTTTACACCTATATAGAAATTCATAGATACCCTAAAGCCTTTTTTTTTCTACTTTCTTTTCAGACTACCAGAGGTGAGACCCCGAAATTAAAGGCCTACATAGTATAGTAAGTAAACTAAGTGGGCATGACACAAGAAAAACGATAGGATAAACTGATGATAGATGGCAACCAACAATAGCCTCATCGTCAGGTAGATTTTGAGAACAGGAAAGTTTGCAAATCAGAGTCTATATCCACCTCCTAAAGTAAGAATCCAACACTCATATGAGAATTCAGACTCAATGCAACCAGATACTATAGTTTCTTAAGAGAAGCCAGAACTTCAGAGTTTTATATGAGATCTATTTTAAAATATTTGAGTCTACACTAAAAAGCCATCCACTGAGGCTGCTCGTCAAATCACCAGTCAAGTCACCTTTAATCTTCAACATCCAATTACCTTGGCAATACAATGGGCAAGTTACCCTTTCTCACCATCTCCATCACAACCAGAGTCGAAGCTAAAATAATGTCTGGCGTCACTCACTAAATGGCTTCCTAGCTTTCTAAATCCTCTAGGCTTCCTATTTTGTCTCCTTATAATCCATTCTACACAGAGCAGCCAGGAGGCAGTTTGAAATAGCTTCTGATGATCTTGTCATGATTGCCTTATTTCCTTGAAAATAACCCTTCAACTGGTCTCTAATTCTAGCCTTTACACTATGCATAATCAGGAACTGGTCAGTATCTCCTCTTCTTCTGTACCTGCCTCTGCTCACCTACTGTACTCCAATCACACTGACCTCCTTTCACCTCCTCAAACATGCTAAACTTTTCCCTACCTCAGGACTATCAGGGCTTTGTCCTGAGATTTTTTTTTTTTTTAAAGATTTTATTTAATTGACAGAGAGAGTGAGAGAGCACAAGTAGGCAGAGCGGCAGGCAGAGGAGGGAGAAGCAGGCTCCCTGCTGAGCAGAGAGGCCAATGTGATCCTAGGGTCTTGGGATGAAGGCAGATGAGTTGAAGGCAGATGCTTAACCAACTAAGCCACCCAGGCACCCCAAGATGTTTTCCTCTTGATCTTCACATGGCTATGCACTTCTAGTGCTTAGTTAAATTTATCTTAAATTTCACCTAGTTCATCTTAAATTTCCTAAGCTTTGTTAAAGGTTAGGTCTTCCTGACCACATGCTATAAAATAGTTGCCCAGGAAACTATCATACTCACCTGTTTTAAGTCTGCATGGTGTAAGTATCTGTTATTCTCTTGTTACTATTGATAATTCTATAATCTCCTCCCCAGTTAGAATGCAAGCTCCATGAATGATGCTTGATTGTTGGTAACTCAGTTATTTCCTCAATCAATGAATGGTAAAAAAGATAATATGCTCTGGGTCTGTTTTCTACACAATGAGTCCTTTTAAGACTGAAGGCACCCTGTCCTTCCTTCCTGAGGTCTCAGTACTTTACCTGCAAAGAAGCATCAGCAAGCAGTGTTTGCTATCTATAGCTCTCCCGAAGAGCAGTATAACATTGTTATTTCATTTCCCTGTTGGAGCTAGATGCTGGGTCTTATTCCCTTACATTTCCAGAATGAGACTAGGTCATTTATACTGGAGTTCCCAAACAGACATCTGAAAATCAGAAAATTAAAAATTAGAGAAAAATTGTGCTCCTACCTCCAGAGTCTAGTTCATGAGGTAAGTCTCAGGCTATACTTTCAGGAAGTTTGCTAGGACAGACTGCAGCAGGCAGATTTAGAAAGGACTACTAGCCCAGTGCAACATGGTCTAAGGAAGAATTGAGCAAGTACAAGGCTCTACACTAAAAAGCCATGTTGGGGCACCTGGGTGGCTCAGTCAGTTAAGCAGCTGCCTTCATCTTGGGTCATAATTCCAGGGTCCTAGGATCAAGCCCCACGTCAGGCTCCCTGCTCAGTGGAGAGCCTGCTTCTCCCTCTCCCTCTGCCTGCCACTCTGCCTACTTGTGTTATCTCTCCGTCAAATAAATAAAAAATATATATTAAGAGCCACGTAAATGTGTGTGTATGTGCATATATGGACATGAATGCACGTGCATGGGTGTGTTGGTTGACATGGATGTGGTTGGTGTAGGGGAAGAGGATAATACCAAGTTATGAAGATTTCTAAGAACAAGAACATGGTAATCTTAAATAGAAAGAATGCTAGTTTTTCCTATAAATCTTCCAGTCAATTATAATCATTTAATCTAATATAATTTGGTATAATTTGATCTGATATAATCTGATGTTTGATGTAATTGAGAGTTCCAGAATCATTTCTCAAAAAATATGTAAAGGTTTTTCAAAAAATCAAATCTTCTAACAGCAAAAATTTCCTCTAATATTAAATCTTACTGCTTTGAATCATTTGGAGATGCATAAGGTAACAATTTTCAGTCACATAAATCACTAAGATATAATAATCCTTACAATGATATAATTTGTAAAATTATACTCTAAATGCAACCAAACTATTTTTGTTAAAATTCAGACATGAATATTCTCTCTATGGTATTTTATTGAATTGGATTGGATAGCAAGGGGGAGGCATGTAGAATAATTATATCACTATATAAATGGGATATTGTTAAATGTGTCAAAGATACATAGCACAAAATATTATTTGTCATGACTTCTCAATTATCTGTGCATATGACTAGACAGGTATAATTTTCTTCTGCTGAGATCTGTAACTACAGGTGTTACCTCAGCAGAGAGCTTTGATGATTTAATGTAGACATCTGTGATGGTGAAGTTTTCTCTCTAGGTGCTAATGCTTCCTCTTTTACTGCCTTGGTATATTGAAGAAGATGTGAAAATAACACTCACTTATTGAGTCTCTCTTCAGAAGATCCTAATATCTTTTGGAAAGAATTTTGGAAATCTTGCTTCTTATTGCATGGGAGAGTAAGATAATGGCACTCAACATCCTGAAAGCCATTTCTTCCCTTATCATTCAGAGGATGATCTGTTCACAAGACCTATTCCTAATTCTAAATGCTATTACTGATGAGTAGACTTACAAAGATTTGACAGGGTGAGTGTGCAAAATTCACAATGCTTATCTTAATATAGGTAACATTTTAAAATGTCACCTAATCAAACAATATTTTCTGGAAAGCCACTTAATGTTACACACAGACACACACACACACAGACACACACACACACAGACACACACACACACAGACACACACATAATTTTTGTATGAAGGAAGGAGAGATGAACACAGATATAGTTAAAAAGATGCCAGTAACATATATAACATAAAGATGTAGTAACATATGACAAACTAAGTCTTCATCAGAAGATTTAATAAATTAACACACACCGATTCAATAAAGCACTAGGTAGCTACTACAAACAGTAAGGTAGGTGGAAGAACCCATGACATGAAACACTGCTAGCATATAAGGCAAGTATTTTACAAAAAAAATTTGTCCTTGCAAAATCCCTAAATTGCTCATGAGTCTTTCAATAAACACTGCACTTGCTTTTTGGTCACTGGTCAGAGATTTCTTAAATTAGTCATATGTTCCTTTCCTAGGCTTTTGTTAACAAATGCTGGCTGTTTCTGGTTTTGATGTCTGAGTATTGAATGCTTCAATGCTAAAGAACTCCCATGGGAGCTTGTAGAGTTACAGCTGCTTATGTCAAAGGCACGTGTATTGCAATTCTATTGAAAATGAAGTGAAAACGTAATTTTTTTTTTTTTTTTGAGAGAGAGAGAGAGAGAGAGAATGCCCACATATGTGTGAGCAGGCAGAGGAGAATTGAGGAAGAGGGAGAAAGAGAATCTCAAGCAGGCACCATGCTCAGCATGGAGCCTGATATGGGGCTGGATCTAATGACCCAGACATCATGACCTAAGCTGAAATCAAGAGTCTGATGCTTAACTGACTGAACTACCTAGGCACCCTAGTAACTAAGTCTTTTTAAGTTAAAAATGTGTATTTTAGAGGCACCTGGATGGCACAGTGGGTTAAGCCTCTGCCTTTGGCTCAGGTCATGATCTCAGGGTCCTGAGATCGAGCCCCGCTTTGGGCTCTCTGCTCAGCAGGGAGTCTGCTTCCCCCCTCTCTCTGCCTGCCTCTGCCTACTTGTGGTATCTCTCTGTCAAATAAATAAAATCTTTTTAAAAAATGTGTTTTATTAGTTTAACAACTTTGTTGAGTATCTTTCCTGTGTTGGGCACCATGTTGGCATGATACAGTAAATACCACCTTCAGGGTTCCTTTTCTATGTTTATCACAGAGGAGTGAGAGGTTCACAAAGTATAGTCAAGGATGGATGGGTAGATGGAACCCTGAGAAAACACTGCTCTGATAGCAAATGCAATATATATGAGAATCCATTTGTTTCCTATTACACCATATATTAAAGGGGTCTGTAAAAAATGTAAAATAATGTAACTCTGTATTAGAAAATATTTTTCATAAAACTTATGTTATTTATGCTAATATGTAATGGCTTTTAAAAAAATACTTGTTATTGTATTAATGGTGCTTTGGTGGGATTAGGGAAGAGAGGTGTCAGTTCCTGACACTAATCACTAAGGAGTGGAAGCAGATTGCAGCATGGCCACAACAGAGAAGTGGGATTCTATGTGGCCTGGGCTGGTGGTGGATGTGAAACAATTTCTATTATCATAGACACATTAAGAATATGGCCTTTGGAAGAGGTAGGGAGGCTAGACCCTGTTGTGACCTGGGGTAGTCACATAAACTATTTGCTTCAGTTTCACAGAAAAAGGTGACCCCCAAATGCTGGAGGACTTGTGATCATCAGGTAATGGGTGGTAAGAGTTTGAATTTTGAAAGGAAAGAGGTATTTCCTTAGTTCATTTTCTATATGTAGAAATGAAGTCCAAGAGAAATTAAAGTTATGGCAAAGTCAGGCTAGACTCTACATGTCCTGATTGCTGGTCTAGGACATTTGGGTATTATCTATGAAGTCTCTTAATAACACTGAAAAAAATCACTTCTGTTACTGATAATTGTTGACTGTTAATAATAGTGAATAATCACATTTCTGTCTTTTAACATAAAGTGTTGCTATTATCACCTTTAGTTGCATTAGCTTATTCACGTTTTTAATAAATTCATAAATTTTTAAAAACTACTCAGTTTAAGTTTCTAATATAGTAAATATAAATAGATATGACTCCTATAAACAAAAATTCTTTGTGGGTCCTCAATGATTTTTATTTTTAAAGTGTATAAAGGTGTTCTAGGACCAAAAAGTTTCAGAACCATGGTCTTAGATAAAATTAGGTGGGCCAAAACGTTAACAGTGGTTATCTTCAGGTGATGAAATCAGAGGTGGTTTGCCTTCCCCTTTTTGAGTTGATTATTTTCTACATTCTTTAAAAGAAGAAAAAGTTGGTATTCTTAAAAATCATGGATCCTTTTTTTGTTTTTTCATGTAGCACAGTGATTAATCTTGTATGTGTCTAGCATGTGTCACTATGTCTAAACCAGTGACAGCCTTCTTAAATCTCAAACTCCCTGGACAAGATGACTTTGTTAAGCTTTGCTTTGGTGTTTTGTAATCATAAACAAAATATTGGTTTGAAATTATGATAACAGAAATATATGATTGTTTATGAGCCAAGCACTCCCAATGTTCTTAATTCTCAAGCACATAATTCTCAATTCAACCTTCAGAAGGTATTTATATAGCTTGCCTAAATTATATTACTTTAAAGAGGATCTTCCTCTCTGCCCAAGTATAACTAACACTGAGATAAAGGCTTTATGGGTATCATTTTCCACATGCTTTTATAATAGTAAAACAGAGTCTAGTGACATCTGGCTCTTGAAGGAATTTTCCAGATTAAGGAGAACAACTGTAAATAACCAATGTCTGCTTAGGGATATGCTAGGTACTATGACATTTTTCTCTATTCAAATGGTTCTCAAACTTTTTTTTTTGTTTGTTTGTTTTTGGTACATAAGAATCACTTGAGAAGACTGTCAAAAATTCATATTCTCCACGTCTCAGTCTCAGATATTCTGGTTTGAGAGACTGCAGCAACTCAGGAATCTTCATATCAACAAGTGTTACAAGTCAAGCTCCCTTGAAGAGTGGCCCCTTGTACTTTACTGAATCTGATTTCTTAAGGATTTCCAGTGATGTCAAAGAGATTAAAACCAGTGTCCTCTAATGATCGCTTTGGCACTTTTGCTTCTACCACATTGACCAATACTTCTGATAATTCATTCAGATTCTTCTTTACTTGAGCTTTAAATCATTTAAACTATCCACCAAAGACCAATGCTCAGCCATTTTTCTTTTTTTTACTCAGTAAGCTCCACCACCGAGTACCCTTACCTTTATTTAAGCAGTGTAACCACTGTGTGGAAATTTCTCAAATGGCACGAAACTGCATGCCCTCTCCTGGTTCCAGCTGCACATTTCTTTCCTTTCCTTTCCTTTTTTTAAATTTTATTTTATTTATTTGACAGAGAGAGAGAGTGCACAAGCAGGGGGAGTGCAGGCAGAGGGAGAAGGAGAAGGAAGCTCCCCACTGAGCAGAAAGCCTGACATAGGGCTTGATCCTAAGACGCCAGCCAGGATCTTGGCCTGAGCCGAAGGCAAATGCTTAACAACTGAGCCACCCAGGGACCCCAGTTGCACATTTCTAACTCCCTCTCAATGTTCCTCAGGCTCCTCAAACACTATGGCCAAAACTTTCCTTTCCCTCATATGTACTTACAAGTTGAGGTCAGAAACTAAATTATCATTCCTTTTGACAGTCTCAAAGACTTGGAATTTTCTTTATCTGTCTTTCATTCCCAAAGTATCGAAGCAGTTGTCCAATCCTGCTCTGATCCATAAAATTCTCCTTATACTTTTTCATGCTTTTGTTACTGCCCTAATTAAGGCATTTTAAATATCACCATTCCATCTTTTTTTTTTCTTAATTTTGTTTTTTCAGTGCTCCAAGATTCATTGTTTATGCACCACACTCAGTGCTCCATGCAATATGTGCCCTCCTTAATACCTACCAATGTTCTCTTCTCTTTACAACCTCCCAGAAAAGCCACTTGAATGAACTGTTAAGTATGTCCATGATTAGATTACCCCTCTGCCCAATGACTCGGGCTCTGCAGTAACTCCTGGAGGTGTTACCTTCCTGTTATTCATAGCAATCCACTGAAATCTCCCACTTGGTGTCTTTCCCAAAAATGGCTAGTCATCCTACTACCCACTACTGGTTTTATCATTCTTCAAGATCCAATTCAAGTAACCCTGAACTCCTTAGAAAGAAAGCAAAATAAGCATTACAGGAGGTTAGTAAGGAAAATGCCCTCAACTTCTATGTGTTTTTCATGTGTATTTAATGGTATAAAAGAATATCAGGTGGCTGTTAATAGTTAATGATTAAGTAACACTGATGTATTAATTAGAAGCTTGAATATCTTAAGCAAGCATTTTAAATAGTAACAATAATAGTTACTATTGTACACCATCTACAGAGAACTTACCAAGTACTTCAAATACATTACAGTGTACATTTATAACAATTTGTCAAAAGAATTATGACCTTCAAGGTTATTATAACTAGGAAGTGGTAAGACCGAGAATTTAAACATGGGTCTATCTGACCCTGACATTGGTTGTGCTCCATGGTGCCTGTCTCTTGGTGAAAAGTTCTGACACTGTCAAAAAATGCTATGGAACTGTTGACAAGTAAAGACTCCAAACTTCAGTGCACTGAGTGAGCTCTATGTTTATGCAGACAGCCATTAGAAGTTGATTTAGAGTATAACCTAAAAGCATATTAAAAATGCGTAGGTTGATTGTTGAACATCTGAGTATATGACAGAGTTCTGATTTACTTCATTACTAGCTTCTTTTCTTAAAGCTTTGAAAGGATTATGTCTGATCACAGAACCTTGAGTCCTTAACAGATTTAGAACTTCATAATAAAAGGGCTCCATCTAGTGGAGCAATTCAACTATATCAAGACAGAAGAAGCAAAGTTAAACCCCTTACACTGAGGGCTTAAAAATGATGACAGTTTCAGAGAAATGATGTTTGCTCTGACATGCACAATATCTAGTTTTCACCATACCTTGACAAAAGGGAAGAAGGTGAAGATACTATGGATGGAGGTAAAGTAAATGCAAGTACTCTGGGATTTGTTCCTAAGTTCAACACATTGACCAACATCCTGGTAAGATACCAAAGTAGCTCTACTCTGAAGTCAAAAACATTAATACAAAGAGACCCGTGCTAGGCCTTGGGGAAAAACAAAACAAAACAAAACAGAATTTGAAGGTCAATGTATCCCTAGTAACTAGAACAAGCCTAACATTGCATAGGTATTTCATAAATACTTCCTGGAAAAGTCCACATACTTTAAAAGGTCAATAAAAATTCTATGGTTGAATAACTTTTTTAAAATTTTAATTCCAGTATAATTAATATACAGTGTTATATTAGTTTTAGATGTACAACATAGTGGTTGCATAAATTTAAAAATAACTATATAATGATATTTCAATTAACAGTGATTCCTTTAGTTCATAGCCTTGAATATCTAAACACGGGAAGCTCAAAATTGCCTTTGTACACCCAAAAGAAAAATCAATGTTTATTCTTCAAGTGCACTTATATGCGCTTTCAATAGCAAGCACTTAATGACTCAGACCTGTTGCTGATGGTAAAACAAAATAAAACTAAAACAGGCATACCAATATACTAAAAAAAAGTCCATCATTTCAGGCATATTCAAATTAAAAACCAAAGCCCACTGTGGATGAGATCAATCTGGAATAGGAGGAGAGGAAAGCGAAACCCTTGGAGCAAAGAGATTATTAGCAGCAAGATGTAATAACCCATCTCCTTTTAACAGAGAGGAAGGTAACTGGGAAAACTGAATTAAGAACTGTACTAAAAATAAATAAATAAATAAATAAATAAATAAATAAATAAATAAATAAATAAAGAAAGAGGGGCTTGGGCCAATCAGCTCTACAGCAACACAGCGGCCATTAAGAATAAGCATATTTTTCAATGCATGTTCATAAAGTTTCTTCCAGAAAAAGTTCTATAACTTTTAGAAGTCAATATACTTTTGAGGTGCACCTGGTTGGTTCAATCAGTTAAGCATCTGACTCTTGGTTTTGGCTCAGGTCATAATTTCAGGGTTGTGTGATCAAGCCCTGAGTCTGGCTCTGTGCATAGCAGGGAGTCAGCTTGAGATTCTTTCTCTCTCTCTTCCTTTGTCCCTCCCCCCCACCATGTGCACATACACACACACACTTTCTCTCTCAAATAAATAATAAATCTTTAAAAAATTTAAAGAAAAATAATATACTTTTGAAAACTTTTCAGAAACTGTCATCAAAGGTGTCTTTGCTGTGCCAAGGATTATGGCAACTTTATCTTTCAGAAGACTTGTTTAGAACCCTTCCTTTGTGAAGATTTTAGTAAATGAGGCATCATTGGAACAGCCTGAAAGGCTAAATGCTGTTTACAGACATGAACCTTTTTCCCTCTGAGAGACAGTGGGTGTGGATTTAAACATCTGCAGACCTGAAGGTCAGAACTGTTAAAGATGACCCACTATGTCAACAAAAGACAACAAAGTCACCTACTATTTTATTTATTTATTCTTTACTTTAAGGGTTTTGAAAACTTACCGCCCAGAAGAAACCAGCTTAAGTGAACCAGCATTTTCAAACAGTTGGGCTTTTGCTGCCACACTGAAAAACAATTTTAAAATGCAAGTTTCATTAAAATCAAATCATTCAATCAAATCAGAAAATCATTCAGTTCAAAGTATAATTTGGGGTTATCAGTTAACACACCCAGAAATAATTAGTTAGGAACTATCTACAAAATTTGACCTGAATTTTCATTGTTTTAAGCTTTAATGTGGAAGAAATTTTTAGATCTAGTCTCCAACTCACAGAGTACCAGATGTAATAAACCTATAGCTACCTTCCCTGGGGATCTTACTGTCCTCATCTTTTCTACTTCAGAAAACTGTAGGAGCAGTAAAAAAGAACATTTTCTCCCTACTCAGCTTCTGGCAGTGATATTGACTCCTGTGGAGCCTCAGTTAAGAATCAAGTCATCAAGACAAAAGAACTGCTGTTCATTCTGATAGTTAAGACAAAACTAGTATTAAAAGGTTTCTTTTTTTTTTTTTTTAAATATTTGAACATAGTTCTTAAAGTGAAAAGAGAGACCTTGGAAAATATGGCCAATAAATACATTTGTGGATTCAAATCTTATTTCAAATCACGGGAAGCAGGGCATGATCTATTTGAGAAACTGAGACTATATTAAGACTAAGGCACCATGGGGTAATTAGAAAAGTTTCTATACTTACTAGAAGAGAATATCAAATTCTGTGAATGATGTTTTAAATTAGATTTTTAAAGTGTATCTTATTTCTTTAATTCACAAACTTTTCTTCCAGAGCCTAGCTGGTTGATAACATGAAGGGTCATTTTACACCTAATACAGAATATATATTCTCTCAATGTTAATTTCTACTTCATCAGGATAACTATAAAACAGAATGAAATCTTTTCTTTCCCTCATAAAGGATGAAATTTATATTATCCTATCTCCTTTGACATATTGGCTTAAAATTTATTTTTCCATAATGACTAGAACTATACACACTGTGCAGTAGACAGATTTATAAATATAAATTTGTCTACATAATGGTAGTTGGATTTCTGACCAAGAGAGATAATATATGTCAAACATACTCTGTAATCAAAAGGTTCTTGTCAAAGAAGGTGATGAACAAATGCATTTAAGATACTGTTCCTACAGAAACAGGCTTAGCAAAATGTCTTACTGGACTTTCATAGAATAATTAAATGGGCTCCTTAATTTTCCAAGTATTCTCATTATCTTGAAAACAAGGTTTCTACTACCTACTGCAGCGGGACACGAAGGACATTAAGAGATAACATATGTAAAGGAGCCCAGAAATACCTCATATAGCATTTGGAAAGCTTAGTAAAAGTCAGGAAAACAAAATGAAAGGGTTAAAAACTTTCCTTTTTAAATTTTGCTTACTTCTTCACCCAAGTTCCATTTTCTCTTTGTCCCCTTCCTATTTACAGCTATGTACTCTATCCTATCTTTACGCTTCTGGGTCTTTGGATTAGAAGTACTCTCTTTAGCCTTCCATGCTCTTTGTTCTCCATGAACTTGTTTAAACTCCGCTACTCATGTAGCGGAGACAAATGATGGATGAAAGAAAACAAACCCTCATAATGTAGACAGCAGTTGTATTTATAACAAAGAGATGGGGGAGGTGAGATATGGGCAGTTGGCTCAGTTGTAAGGTAGATATCTAGCTTTTACAGAATGTCTAGTTTCAAAGCCCAAAACTACTAGATTATATATTTATTCTCTGTCTTTAAATTGGGCCATAGTTCTGCTTGTAAGATAAATGCTTGAAATGGTATGTGTGTGGAATATCTTAAGCCTACTCTAATGTATATGTCATTTGTAGAAGAGCACAGGGTCCTACAGAAGTTGACTGTTCCCACACTATAGATGAGGCATTCAGCTGTGGACATACTCAACTCCTGTGTATCCCTGAAGATACACCAAATATAAACTCTCTCTCACTTACACAGAGCCAGGTCGCTGGTAGCCATTGCTTGAGGCAGTGTCTAGCCTTAACCTCCTGCACATTTTTGGAGGCAGGTCTGGGTTTGGCGGGGCTTTGGGTATCTCTTTGGAACCTACAGAAGTTAAGCTTTGAATGGATCCACTGTAGCTCTTGCTTCCTAAAAAGAAAACCCAAGAAAACAGGCAAGGTGCTATCAGACAAAATAACAGCAGTAACACAGTACATGCACATAACAAAAGGAAGCATTTTTCTCTAAGTCCAAATGAGAAGGTTCAGAATGTTCTTTGAGCACAGCAGCCCATCACTCAGGGAGATCACAATCTACAGTAATTACAAAAGCATCACCTCAGAGAGATGGAAAGATCCATGAAAAAGTCACAGTGCACAGTTTTAAAAATCTTAGCTCAGGAACAGCATTGTTAGCCCCTTCACCATTAACTTTTCCCTCCTTAATCATGCTGAATAATCCAGCAAGTGATAGAGACAATGACATTTTACATAAGCTCAAATCTGGTTTACCTTCAGCTGCAGAGATGGATCTGAGAGAGGAAGCTGAGGCTCTTTTCAGTCCTGAAAGCCCATATGGCCCCTTCTTGACCAGGTCTATGGGTGGGGAAACATCCCCTGGGCTGGTGACCGAGGCAACACTTTGGCAATCTGATTCTGCATCTGTTTTGGTTGCATCCTCTTTAGAACTTGATTCAGGACTAGTTGTCCAGAGTCCAAGATTTTTCTGTCCATTGGAAGGTGTTGGGGATACAATCCAAGGAATCCCTCCAGATTTCTCCCTGGGCTGGCAGGAAGCAGACTTGGTTGTGCTGTTTTGTTCAGAGGAGTGAGAGGACAGTGACTCAATGCTCCCCATGGGTGTGCTGTCTGGGCTGCTGCTATAAGAGTCACCTGAATGGGAGCAAGAAAACAGGAGTGGCTCTCTACTAAGAACAACACAACCAAAGCCTTTCCATTCTCCAACTCACATGTGCTCAGTGGCCACCTGATCCCATTGGAATGATAAGCCTGTACCCCATATGGAAAACCATTGTCAGTTCTGGAGAACAGCTTTAAAACATGCATTTCAACCCAGTGAATGCATTTTTCAATACTATTCAAGGAAGATTTTATATGTAACCTAATCCTATGAAATAATGTTACTTCTTGAAGGATTAGTGAGCTGATTTGAATTCAGACAAAATTTCCTTCTGGGGACACCTGGGTGGCTCCATTAGTTAAGTGTCCAACCCTTGATCTCAGCTCAGGTCTTGATCTCAGTGTCATGAGTTTGGGCCTTGCATTGGGCTCCATGCTGGGCATGGAGCCTACTTTAAAAAAATTGCTTCTGAAAAAGAACTCCCAAGTAATAGAAATAAGATTCTTTGATGACATTATAAGAGATCAATGAATGGAAGGAGGGATGTTAAAGAGAAGTTTCTGCTGTTTTGTTTTGTTTTTTTCCTGATGTTAGGTGACTCTGAATTATAACGCATCTGAGTCCTCCTTCATTTAAAGGCACCAGTCATACCAGCTGCAATTTAGAAACTGTTCGTATTTTTAAAAGAAGGGACTTTTCCCCTCTTCCTGCCAAGATATAGCAATGTAAGAAACTGCCTACTTAACTGAATTATTTTTTAATGTTCCTAAAAGTAAGATTTAAGAAAAAAAAATCAGAAAAATTGTAATAAAATATTCAAACATATCTCAATTAAAAATTAGTGTTTTCTATTAAATACTGACTATGAGAAAAAACTGGGGGGCTTGGGACTATAAAGTAAAATGAAACAAGCTTAACACACACTGTGGGCTCAAGCTGCCACCTACTTTGCTCTGGGCTTGGTTCAGAACAGAAAATTAATGATAATGTGTAATGTGGTTTCTCTTTTAATTTCTTTTCTCTCTCTCTTTTAGACAGACACTTTGATACCCAAGAGATGATGCTTTAAGGACATAATGTGAAAAGAAGAAAGAAAATGACTGCTTTAGCCAGACTTTTCTTGCTTTCTTCTCTACCACTTTGACAATAGGACAAAACCTGCTACAAAGTAGCACTCGATGTACTTAATAGCAGTTGCAGAAAAAAAGGGCACTGAGCAAACGATTTTTTTTTCCTTTGTAGCAGTAATGAATTTGTTTGTACAAAGTACTTTGTAACTATACTGACAAAGAATATATAAATGGAAGGGGAGTGTTGGGGAGACAGTATCAGTAAAATCATCTATTTATTTCTACCTTAAGGTTCTTAAGGTGAGGTAAGACTAAATCAAAGAATGAAGAAAGCATCTCCCTACAGCAGGCACACTTACTATCAGGTTCTGCCAAGCATGGTGTATACCTCCCTCTGGGTTTCCGGGAACCTGTGGACAGGCAGATTGCTCGTGTCCTTCGGGATCCAGATCGAGACTGAGGCTGAGGAAGAGGAATGCTTGGGTCTGGGGCAGTATGAAAAATCTACATACAAAAAAACAAAACAAAACAAAATAGAGGTCAGTCAAAGAGGAGTTGCCACTTTCATCATAAAATGATATTTGTGAGTTAATAAATGATCTTAGAACTATATGCTATTTAATCAGCTTCATGGCAAGAGATGCTTGATACAAAAAATATCCTACTGCAATTATAACTTTTTCTTTACCACTTACACTGAGTAATGTCTGTTCTCTGGGTTTTCTTTTTTATCTTCCCCAGTTTCCCAACAATGAATTTCAGAAGAGTTTCCAATAATTTCAAATATGAACAAATGTCTGTGTCAAGACACATAGACTCTTACTACTGTGCTATTTTCTTTAGCCTTCATGCTGAACATAACCTGAAGGGAAGAGGCTCATTCTGTATCATCTCCCCAGCCAAGCAGTTCCTTGCTTCTCAGGAGAAGGTACTGTCATACTACTGGCCTTGAACTGTCTTGGAACACGACAAGCTGCAGGGAGAAGTCTGAGCACAGCTATACGGATACAGCTGGGTGGTCGTGGGTTGTGAGTGCTTGCAACCTTAGATAAATGAAGGATATTCTTCTACAGGCACCAAGAAGGGACCCAGGGAAGGAGAGAGCATAGTCTTTCTCTCACAAGGACTAGACCTGGCATTAATGGATCACAAATGTTTTGAGTTTTAATGGCTAGATTTACTTAACAATCCAATCACTTTGACTTTCTCAATTTCCCATTCCCATAGTTATTCTAAGATCTCAATCTTGTCAAAGAAACCAAGTTTAAAGATCAGAGAGGACTTCAAGACTGTCCCTGGAATTCTTTTGTTTTATTGAGAATATTATTGCTGCTACAATTCCAGGGAGACAAAAAGGTTAAAAACAGACTTAATCACCAAATGATTCTAACAAATTCTCTGAGTATGAGCAAAAAATTCACTACACAAATACTAAAAAAGAGAATCTTGAGAAGTAAATGATGTAAAAGGAAAGGAAACCATTTACCTGGAGGATTCTGAGAAGCACTTAAAAACTAAACAAGAAAAAAAGAAATCAAAGTCCCCATGAAGAAGCAATTTATACACGGGCGCCTGGGTGGCTTGGTGGGTTAAGCCTCTACCTTTGGCTCAGGTCATGATCTCAGGGTCCTGGGATCGAGTCCCGCATCAGGCTCTCTGCTCAGCGTGGAGCCTGCTTCCCCCTCTCTCTTTCTCTGCCTGCCTCTCTGCCTACTTGTGATCTCTCTCTGTCAAATAAATAAATAAATAAAATCTTTAAAAAAAAAAGAAGCAATTTACACAAAATGTACAAGACTGATATTTTATAAGAATCTGAGATCACAATGAACTCATAGATAATACAAATGGAAAATTCCTTCTTAAAAGCAAAGTACGAGATTTGATACTTCCACATGAAAATCCAGCCTACCTTTTCATAGTGCTCGATCAGAATTTCAACCACAATATTCTGAAATTTAATATTCATCATGGCAGCCACAGTTTCTTCTTGTGCTCTCATGAGAGTTGGGCCAAATATAACACCAAGGTTAGAGACAGTCATGAGATTTTGTTGGCTGTGTAGTGATACTCTGCAAATAAGAACAATAAAAATAACACAAGTTGAATGTTTAATAATTAGGCAATGTTCTCATTTACCAAATTTGTGGCATAAATAAAATGTAAAATATGCCATGATAGGTTAGTTTTTCTAAGTAGTCAGTTTCAGCCACTCCCAATTGGTAAATGTGGGTATAGCCTAAAAAGACAGAAAAAGTTAACATTAGCTAAATAAAATAATTACAAATCTTAATTAAAGGAATAAATCTTGAGACCTTAAATCAAATATAATCACCCTAGAGAGATTATAAATTGTTAGGGATTCTCCAGGGTACTACAATTCTTTTAGAGTAGATGGTTAAGATTAGATGGGTTGGAATCATATTCGGATACACTAAAACATATTATTGAGAACCTAGTGCCAGGCATTTTCATAGATATTATTGCATTTAATCCTTCCAGGAAGTCAGTTTTTCCTATTGTATAGGTATTTAAAAAATTTTTTAAAAAAAGCAAAACTGGAGTGCCTGGATGGTGCAATCAGTTAAGTGTCTGACTCTTGGTTCTGGCTCATATCATGATCTCAGGGTTCTGGTAGGGGTCCTGCAATGGCCTCTGCATTCTGCATGAGTCTTCTTGTCTCTCTCCTTCCCTCTCTTCCCCACCCCTCTACCCTTCTCTCAAATAAGTAAGTAAATCTTTTTTTTTTTTTTTTTTTAAGAAGCGAAACTCCTAGGGTAAAAATGATGTACTCCATGTAACAGCAAATTAGGGACAGAGATGTTATTTCAATTCAGGTCTCCTGAATATAAGTCAGGGGGTCTCTTAAGCTCCCTACATAAGACAACTGGCCAATGAATGTTTCTAACCTTCCCTTTTCCATTCTGTCCATCCACCCATCTATCTTCTCATCCATTTAAAATTCCCTGAATGCCTCCTTAATGCTAGGACTGTATTAGGCAAACAGTAAGAACAGGAGATATGGTATAGCATCAGTGTTGGCTTGAAAATGAAAATGAAAGAAAAAGCCTCTGGTGTTACTGACTTTAGCAAGTTACCTTACTCCAGAAACTACCAAAAATGACTTCGACTAATTAACTTGGAAATTAGATATATTCTTTTTTTTTTTTTTAAGATTATTTATTTGAGAGAGTGCATGCACATGGGAGTTGGGGGAAAGAATCTCAAGCAGACTGCCTGCGGAGTGCAGGGCTTGGTCTTAGAACCCTGAAATCATGACCTGAGCTGAAATCCAAGAGCCATAGACACTTAACCAACTTAGTCACCCAGGTGCCCCAACTGATATATTCTTAAGAAGAAACCTCATTCATTTGATCAATCTTCTAGGTTAACCACTGCCTTTTCTATCTTACTTCTAGACAGACTGTCAAAATACAAAATTCTAGAAAGAAGCACAACATGAGATTATGTTTATACCTAAGTGTGCCTAACTACATTCCAGAAGCAAAAGTAAAATTTTATGGGGAATCCAGGATTTTGGATATTATGCAAATTTTATGGAGAATCCAGGATTTTGAATATTATGCATATCCTAGCATAGGACAGGAAGAACTGACTGTCTCACTGACTGAATTTTTCCGTTGTACCTGAGAGAGCACAAACTATGAAGCTCTTGGTTAGAACAGGAAGACATTTCATTCCAAATTTTCTTTTTACATAACCAAATATTATATATACATGTATTTATGTATATGTATTATAATACATATTATAATACATATGTATATTAGTTGCTTAGTATGTATCAGAGCATCTACTAAGAAAGTAGTACATAAAGTATGTCTGGATTTAAAGCTTGGATCCATCCAACTTCTTAGAAGCTGGGCAGCAATCAGCCAAGTTAGTTACAATCTCTAGGCTTCAGTTTTCTCATCTATGAAGAGTAAGAACCCCTATAGGGTTGATAAGATTAAATAATGTTCTAGGAAATATGATTTCAAAACATTAACTTCCTTGTAATTAAATTGGCTTTAGTCACTCTTGCTAGAATATGAGTTGATGGTAGTGTGAGTAAACTGGAATGATATTAATATTAAACTCATGAGGAAAATATTTGGAAATCCTAAAAAAAATTAGAAATAAAAAAAATTTGGTTTTGAAAAGGAGAATATATGACTATGTTGCTCAGAAGATGGAATAGTTGGATGAACAATTTTCTCTTCATTAAATTTCACTTCTGCTGAGCTAACTCAATCAATATAAACACTTATCACCCCACATTTCAGCTATTTCTACACCTCATTTCCTCAATTTGTTGTAGAGAACAGACATCCAACTGCCCTTTTAAATATTCAAAGTTGGAGTTGAAGAAAAGACCGCAGATAGCTGTTTTAAAGACAAAGAAAATGATTCTCAGAAAGAAGTAATGGTTTATATCATGTCTCAGAGTTAATTAATGGAGACTGGAATCAATCTTCACTGGTTCTTTAGATAGTGACCAATACAGATCACTTTTAAATTCTCTTTTCTTCAGATATATTAAGGTTGCCAGGGACCATGAGTGTTATTACGTGTTTGTAGTTTACTTAAGTCACTGGTGATGTGAACACACATTTCAAAAATACTGCTCAGTTAACAGGGATCAACTTTTTGTAGGTTCAGGAAAAAAGCCAGGAATGGTGGTAAAGGATGGGCAAAAGAATTTTAATCACTCTTCTATGGCCAGATACTATTCCTCTGTTATTCCTGGTACCAAAGCCACGCACATTCATTATAAGGGGGAAGTTTGAGTTCATCTAACATTCTAGATAACTAAATAAAAACCTTTTATAGGACACTCATGTATCTTTTAAAAGCAGTTTAAAAAGGCTTTGCTAGAAAATTAGCTTGAATATACCAAGAGAATGCCCATTATGTACAATGTGGTTAAATTTCATAAAGAGGTCACACAATTCAAAACATAATTCAGGACTAAATCTGACCAAGAATCCTCCTTCATTATTTAAAGAGGAATTGCCATATGCAACAGTTAATAATGAACTTGAAATGATGCAGTTCCTAGTGGATTTCCTTCTTATTTCAAGGGGGAAGAGGGCAATTCATATTATCTTATCTGCAGGTTAAGATGAGACTTATTAAAATGTTATGTAGTACTCTTTCAAATGTGCTGGCTCAAAGTAGCATAAACTGGGTAACTACTTATAGTAAGCAACTAAGGAGCAATCATTTAATTGTGAATCTCGCTAAGATGGAAAATATCCTTATTTGTATATGAGCCTGTAAGGGAATTCTTAAGTTTAAAACCTAAATTTGGTGGCACCTGGGTGGCTCAGTTGGTTAAGCATCAATTCTTGGTTTTAGCTCAGGTCATGATCTCAGGATCATGGGATCAAGGCCTATGTCAGGCTCCGTGCTCAGTGGGCAGATTGATGGAGATTCTCTCCCTCTTCTTCTCCCTCTAGTCCTCCCCTTGCTCTCTCTCAAATAAATAAATAAACTTAAAAAAAAATCTGAATTTTGACTTTTGTTTACAGTAGCATGTCAAATGTATGTGTGCGTGTGTATGAAAAAGAGAGAAACTTTAGGCAGATTTATGAGGCCACAGTACCTACATATTTGTTCAAACATAATTCTAGATGATCCTGGGAAGGTGTATTTTTGCATAAAATCAAGATTTAAATCAGTAGACTTAGAGTAAAGCAGATTATCTTCCATGTGAGCGTGAGCAGGCCTCATTCAATCAGCTGAAAGTCTTAAAAAAGACTGAGGTCCTCTGAGGAGGAGGGGATCCTGCTTCCAGACTGCCTTGGAAAGCAGCTGCAATGTTAACTCTTCCCTGAGTCTCTAGACTACCAGCTGCCCTGCAGATTTCAGACTTACCAGCCTTCACAATAGTGCAGGCCAGTTCCTTGCAATCAATCTCTCTCTCATATACACATACAAAATACACACACACAACTATATATATATATATATATAGACACACATGTATAGCTACATACACACACACAATCATCCTATTGGTTTTGTTCCTCTGGAGAAACTTGATTAATATGATACCTATTAATATGATACCTATCCGGATTTTTAAATACATATATGAATTAAGAGCAGAGTCAGAAAAATCTTATAGACCAAGTGATGCTATGAATTCAGAGAAAGACATTAACATTAGAGTGGCGATTTGACCTGGCAAAACCTGTTGACACTAGTCACACAGAGAACTGATCCTCAGACTTAGGGCTTATGATGCATCAAAAGGAATTGGGGGGGAAAAATATACTCCTTCATATATTGTTAAATTGACATGTAAGGTTTTTGCCATTAGTTTAACAGTTGAAATTAACATTAGTTAATCCCTTGCACAGTGTAAACATACACAGAACACACACACTTGCACAGATATATCTTAAAAATAGTCACATCTTTTTTAAAACCATATTCCATAGACTGATTATAACAACAGTGTTGTAGCACCATCATACACTTTTGAAAGACATGAACAAGTCTAACTTTAACAGCTGAACAAGTAGTTAGGTGAACAACATAAATCAGAGAATTACTTGACGAGGTGTTTTATTAAGATGTCCAGCATCTCTCTGTTTTTTTCTGGTAGTTTGTGCACCAGTGCATGTACAGCTTCCACCCGGTAGTTTTGGTCATCAGATTCTGTAACATAGAGGTTTCAAATGTTCAAGTTTAAATTGCATTAAAATGTGTAAATAATCTAATAATTACAACTTAATCTAAACATTACAACCACTCCCACCTTCATGCCTTATAAACATTACTTCATGCAGTAAGTATTATCACTATCATTGGCTTAGAGCAACTGAGCGACTTGACCATGGTCATGAAGTTAGTTGAGTAAAGAAGTCAAACTAGCCCGTTCTAGCTAATCCAGACCTGTGCCTGTAGCCACTGAGCTTCCATACATCCATAACTCATCACCTCCTTTGTTTTTGCTACACAAGGACAGAATCAAAACTTTAGCAATGTGAGTGATCACAGGAATTGTTACAGACGGCCTAACGTGCCAGGCAATATAATATACTTTATCACACAGAAAAGTCCTAGAGACTCCTTCAGACAAAGAAAGAAAGCATTCCTTTCCAAATTTTATAGATTTAAAGACAACAGGGAATTACATTTCTGAAGTATCAGGATTGCTATGCAAACAAAGGCCTAATACATTTGAAGCCCATGTTGACAATGGTAAATCTGAAAAGTAAAAAACCATCTAAAGAAAGCCAGGCAAAAGCCAATACACTGTCATGTCAGCTAGAGAAATATCTGACACTTCAGAATGAAGAACTTATTTACATGTTCTTACTATAATAAATTCTACGGTGACTTCCTACCCTGCCAAGCCCTTTCCCTAAAAATGCCCAAAAGGAGGTGAGGAAAGAGCCTGGCTCAAACTGGGCCAAACACAAGGGCTCCCAGGGGTTGGAATGGAGATAGCAAAACTATGATCTGTCTGCTTACATATGTGGAAAGGCATATCATGTAAGACCAGGGTTGATGTGACCAAATGTGCTCCAAAGCTAAGAAAATTCGACTGGAAAGGGAGATACAAATAAGGGAGATATGCAGCAAAGAACAGAGAGGAGAGACCCTCCTAAAATTATGGGAAGAGAAACATCAATTTACATTTCTGTAGTTCCTAGCTGTAGGCCTGTGAAAGGCCTGATCCATACTCTGGCAGGGAATCCTGTGAGATACCTTGTAATTTCTGGATAACTTCCCTTTTTTACAGAGCTGAATTTCCAAATAATTTCTAATTTTATTACCTTATTATCTGGTACATGGGATTATCCTTGACCCAGACAGAAGATGAATTCTTATCTATAAGAATATATTTCAATTACCATGGTAGTGAATTATTTATTTGCCATGGAAGTAGAGAAAAATAGCTTACAACCAAATGTTTCTATTAAAACAAGCTGTTCATTTAGCTACTTAAGCTAGTGGCTCAAATGCCATTTGTTGTAACACAAAATTTCTGTAAGAGTTCTAGGGTAGAGTAAAAAAAATTGGCTTGTAGTTCTGATTTTGCCATCAATTTACTAGTGTCCTTGGACAAATTCACTGGCCCACTCAGGGACCTAGTCAATAAAATGAGAGGTCAGCTCTACATTTTCCAAGTTTTGTTTATCTAATAAGGATAGATTTTGATGAAAAGAATATAGAGTGGAGAGCTTTCAGGAGAAAGGTAAGTGGTATAGGTGTTTATGAGATCATGTGGTCAGTCATGAATGCTGGATTGAAAACCAAGGTCACTCAATGTTATCTGACACTTATCAGCAGACAAAATTTCCTGTGACATTACAATGTGTGATAATAAATTAATGCAACTGCTTTCTTTCTTGGGACTGTGAAAAATGCTTTGTACAGTCACACCTCATACATCTTAACAATGAAAGGCTAATTCCTAACTGTTACATGTTGTGATGGGCTCAGATGGCAACCCAGCACTTTAGTCTCAATGTTTTAAAAGTACATATTTCTAATTTCTTAGGTTACATGTTACATGTTTTCACTGAGTCCCTCCCCACAATTTTTGAATTTAGCCTATCTATATATATTCCATTATAGCAATCATAGACCCAAATAAATAACATAGATACATGATCCTTATCAATAAATGGGGGGGGAGATTGATGAAAGTGCCTGTTACCTGCCAAAAATACCTGACTCTTCTCTTCAGGTTTAGGAATATAGTGTGGTAAGTATGAGTAGGTAGCATACCTGACCGTACATATTTGTAGTCTTATCTATTTAACCATAAAGTTGCTCTTATAAGAAACTAACATTCATCATTGAGTAAAATGTAACTAAAATAATTCTTATCACACCAGTCACCCCAAGGAATTCTTATTAAGTGGCAAAATATTCCATTTCATTCTGCAAGTTTTTTTAAAAATCAAGCTAAGGGCACACTTGATTCCCTTTATCTATTTCTCCTATTCCCCCACCACCTCTCCTCTGGCAACCACCAGTTTGTTCTTTGTATTTAAGAGTGTTTCTTTTTTGTCTTTTTCTTTGTTTTGTTTCTTAAATTCCACATATGAATGAAATCACATAGTATTGATCTTTCTCTGTCTGCCTTATTTTACTTAGTACTATATTCTCTAGATCCAGCCACATCGTTGCAAATGTCAAGATTTCATTCTCTCTTATGGTTTAGTGATATTCCATTGTGCATATATACCATATCTTCTTTATCCATTCACATACTGATGGACACTTCTGCTGTTGCCATGTCTTGGCTATTGTAAACAATGCTGCAACAAATATAATGGTGGGCGTATCTTTCTCAATTGGTGTTTTCATATTCTTTGGGTAAATACCCAGTAGTGGAATTACTGGATTATATGGTAATTCTATTTTTAATATTTTGAGGAAACTCCATATTTGTTTTCCAGAGTGTCTACAACCAGTTTGCATTCCCACCAGCAGAGCAAGAGGGTTTCCCTTTCTCCACATCCTCACCAACACCTGTTGTTTCCTGTGTTGTTTAATTTTTCCGACAGGTATGAGGTGATATCTCATTGTAGTTTTGATTTGTATTTCCCTCATGATAAGTGATGTTGAGCATCTTTTCATGTATTTACTGTCCATCTGTATGTCTACTTTGGAAAAAGATCTACTCAGGGTCTCTGCCACTTTTTTAATCAAATTGTTTTTGTAGTGTTGAGCTGTATAAGTTCTTTATTTTCTATTTTTATTTTATTTTATATATTTTTTTAAGATTTTATTTATCAGAGAGAGAGAAGGAGAGAGAGCGAGCACAGGCAGACAGAATGGCAGGCAGAGGCAGAGGGAGAAGCAGGCTCCCTGCCAAGCAAGGAGCCCGATGTGGGACTCGATCCCAGGATGCTGGGATCATGACCTGAGCCGAAGGCAGCTGCCTAACCAACTGAGCCACCCAGGCGTCCCATGTATAAGTTCTTTATATATTTTGGATATTAACCCCTTATTGGATATATCATTTGCAAATATTTTCTGCCATTCAGTAGGTTGCCTGTTTTGTTGATGATTTCCTTCATTGTGCAAAACTTTTTTCATTTGTGGTGTAGTCCCAATTATTTAATTGTGCTTTTTATTTCCCTTGCCAGAGAAGACATATCTAGGAAAATGTTTCTCCAATCAATGTTAAAGAATTACTGCCTATGTCTTCTAGCTTTATGGTTTTTAGGTCTTTAATACATCATTCACAATTTATTAGTTTACAAACCATACTGTCAGCTATTAAATATCAGATTGACAGTTTCTTAAGCAATATGTAGGACAATCTTAACTAGCTGGTTTAAATTTACACCTCTAAGTGATATAGCATAAAATTACATCAATCATAATACATCCAACAGAAGTGTACTTACTAACTGCAACAATAAAATCTTTGTGTAACTTGTAAGTCATCAATGGTTCTGCAAGACATCTACAATGGATAAAGAAGCAGGCATTAGAATGACAACATCTGTTTTATTTCCCCTGAACTTTCAGTGTTTCTTTAAGAGTTGGGTATTAGGGAATAAGATCAAGTCCTAGGAGGGCCGCTCTAGGCAGTCCCAGAATGCAGACCTCAAAAGACACAAAGGCCTTATAGCAGTTCTTGGCACAACTGTACTAAAAAGGGGAGGGATTTTTTTCACTTTGTGAGAACTACTGAACCACAATAGCAAAATCTCTCTCAGATATGGGGACAATAGTTAAATAAAACACAAAAACAAAAGACAACTTTTAGTTTCAATTTAAAAAAAAAAAAACCATGAAAACACCACATTTAATATGAAACAAAATATTATTTAGTATTCATAAAATATTGTAGCCTCTTAAGTTTATTATTTGAAATAGAATGTATAAGCTCCAAAACACTATATATAAACATTACTACCTTATGTTATTTCACCTGAAATGAAGGAATTATTCTAAGTAGTGAAGTTCATGCACAGGAGCTCTGAGAAATCACATGGCAACTGCCCAAAGAAGCAAGAGAGACATCATAGGCAGAATAGAGTTAAACCTTCCTTACCTGAGGTAGTTTTTTAGTCCACTTGTTATTGTCTTATTATCCCACAATTCAATATCAATGTCAACATCAGGAGGGGATTTGGGAGCTGAAAAGAGTAAAAAATAAGGTGTTTAAACTATGCAATTCAAACATCATTCACACCGTAAAGAAGACAGACACAAACATAAATAGGTCAAGGAGAGAGAGAGACACTTATTCCTTAGAGTGCCAACAGTTCACGATTGTTGCTTGTGCGAACTGATGCAAATCTTATTTTGATGCTTTATAAACCTCAAAGATTTCTTGTGGAATAATAGGGTTCCAAATCAAATTGTTGTTAATTGCTAACATCACAGAGCACTTACCATCTGCCAAGAATACTTCAAAGTATGTTATATGAATTAACAATCCTTATAGTTCTCAATGAGGCAGGTACTATTATTATCCCCATTTTATGAATGAGAAGGTTGAGGCACAAAAGAGGTTAAATGAATTACCCCAGGTCACAGAGCTTTTAAACGGCAAGTTAGGATTCCAAGTTAGGCAATCTGAATCCAACACCCATAAATTTCACTGCATTCTAGTTAATCAAAGGACACTTGAGAAAAAGTCCAACATTATAAAAAAGACCCCTCACAAATTCTGATTGTTCATCTATTATAACTGAACATTAAAAGCTGAATGCAAATATTAATTTTAAATATTACTTGAAAATATTCAAAGATAAGCAATAGTATAATTCTCAAAGAAAGCTATGGTTTGGATTATCTATAATACAAAAATTAAGTAACCAGTTCATCCAAAACTTACAAAATGTTGTGTTCATGAGTTTCTGAACTTTGGAGTTTACTCCTCCTATTCGGTAGAGACCTAAAATAGTGATGCCTAATGAAAAAGAAAAATCACAAGAGAATGGCTTGAGACCATCAGCACAAGTACAAAATGTTAAAAACTTCAGGCATATACCTATACTGAATTTGAAAGCTACTTGTCCAGTTTTGCAGTCTAACTTTAGCAAATCTACCCTGGAAACACCCACAACACATATTTCTCAGAGAAGACACTGAATAGTATCCAAAAGTCTTTCAAATATCTTCAAAGTAGCAAAGTACCCCTGTTCATTTACCACTATTTGAATGCAAAAAGCACTAAGAAGGGAAATGATAATCAGTATTTCTCGTCTTCTATTTCTTCAGTCATGGAGTCCTGCATGTTGAAGAGTTGGAAAGCATTTACATCTTCATTTTGAAGATGAGGAAACAGATTCAGAGAATTTAATAAATACACTTAACTTCTCAAAACTTCTATGTGGCAGCACCAAAATCTGAGCCTAAGTTCACAGAATTTCAAAACCCAATATGAGTTTTGCTTTAGACAAGTTTGCCTGTAATAAAAAGAATGTAATATGTACCTGGAGTGGGCTTCAGGTGAGAGGTCATGACTAGAGAGAGGAAAGGTGCTAGAATTGTGACTGACTGAAATCACTGAGGGAAAGAATATAAGGAAGGAGGAAGACCAGTTCCTTAAGAATCTTACCCCACTAAAGCTTGAAAAAAAATCAAAGATGTGCTTATAGTAATAAAAAACACAAAGTCTATCAATAAGAGGTAAAGAAAGCCTTTATGCAGAAAAATCATTAAAAAGAAATACAGGGTAAACTATAGTTATTTGTATATTTAAGTAACTTATTCATTTATATAGTTGTTGAAGTTAATTTCATGTTAATGATGAATTTTTGAGAGGTTTCTATTTAAGAATGAACTATAAGAACTACATAACAGTAATAATGTACCTGTTAGACAACACTTACCTCTTGTTTCCACAGCTTGAATGCATTTTCTCACAAAGTTGAACCCTGCTTCATTTAAGTACACTGAAAATAAAAGAAAATCACAGTAAGGGTTTATGCCCAACTTCCATTACCCCGTAGTTGGCTCTGTTGTTTTAGTACTTAATGCACAGTTTTAGTTAAAGTCTGAATTTTGGGGAGGGGGGTAGAAGTAGAGAGGTTCACAGTCACCAAAGTTACCATATAAACTTGATTCCTTAGAAAACACAGATCCTGTAAATGTGTTACACTGATCCTGTCCATTTTTTCTAAAGTCAGATGTGTTAGATGTGTTTCCAGATGATAGAAGCAAATGTACTAAGAAAAAAACCTTTATTGTGTGTTGGTAATTATATTGCAAAGCTATTCACATATTCTTTTTCATGATATTCTTAAAACATTATGAAGTAGAGAGAAAGCTTTGTAATCTTATGATGGTTCACTGGGTTGCTGAAAACTTCACTTTGTTCTAAGATTAAGAACCAGGATTCTAATACAGATCTCCTGAATCCAAGCCCAATATTCTTTCTCCTGCATTTTTTTATCATATGCAAAGTAATTCAAAATACATGTAGTTCACCAAAAATCTCCCAAAGATCCTACATTATGAAATAGCAATTTATTTTCATGGCTTTTGCAAGATTTTAAATCTGTTTTAATTTTCTTAAGTTTTTGAGGCCAGATCAAATTAGACTTTTTTTTTTTTAAAAGACTTAATTTAAGAATACCAAGTAATACCCTGAGGAAAAATTCAAATGTTTTATTGGTTCTATAATGAAAATTTTTATCACACATGGGAGAAATATATTTCTTAATATTCTCAAATAAAAATGAAAATAATTCAAATAAATACAATTAAAACTGGTTTCCAATTAAAAATGGTAAATTAGAAGGAGGCTGGAAGAAGGTGGAGTAAGAGGATCCTAAGCTTGCCTTGTCGCATGAATACAACTATATAAAACTCACGTTAATGTAAGTATCCCAGAAAATGAAGACTGGCAAAGCAAACTCTACAATTAAAGGCAGAGAAGAGTCCACATCAAAGAGGGTAGAAAGGGTGAAGACATAGCGGGGAGCAAAACGGAGGTGGCCATCTGTGGTCAGGAGGGAGCCACAGGCACAGAGAATGGTGAGAAACAGACTAACATACCAGGAAACTCACACTGGAGAGATGAATCCTCCTAACATATGGCTTTAAAAGCAAGAGGAGCTGAATTTATTGATTTCTTACAAGTAAGAGGGATTCAAAACCTAAAATCTTAAAAATCAGCTGGCTCCATTTTGGAAGAGCCCTGAGGGCAACAGGAAGATGAGTCCTGCCTGAAAGACACAACATGACAAAGAGCCCTCCAGATATAAGGTAGAAGCAGCACTTTGAAAAACACCTGGGACATATAGCAGGGAGAGTTATTTACTCATCTCAGAGCATGTCCAGAGGAAGACTCTTTCAGGAGCAAAGGAGCTGGCAGGTGACACTGCCCTCCCCCACCCTTCAGCATAAACACATGGTCACCTGCAGAAACCAACAGGAAGTTCACTATGTAATTGGCTTACACTAAGCCCCACACCCTAGTGCTTTGGCACATGCACCCTTTCCACTCATGCTTGCATCAGTCCCAGCACTGCAGGCTACCTCCTCAGAAATACAGTGCAAACCTTGTCAATACTTCATCTTCCCACCCATATATTTTGCAAAACTGTGGTTCTGGCAATAGCAGCTGCAGGCACTGTGGAAGTTCGAGGAGCACCATGTTAAAATTGCACAATCCACTCACAAGGAATGCCAGGGTCCTGGAAGCTACAAGTATCATTCATAAGCAGAGTACACCTTATTAAAACTGCGTATCACATCCCCACTAGGGACAAAATGCTGCCCACAACAGGAAAAGAAAGCCTCTGTCAAAAACTGGACTGAAGGAAGAAGCCACCAGGAAAAAACAGCGAGCACATGCAATGCACATAGGAGACACCACGTGAAGTGTCAGGCTCTGGGGAATAGAGGAAACTGTACTGCAGGGCACTATAGAACCTCTTCTTCATGAGGGTGCTACATTCAAGAAGAGGAGATCTAGCTGACTTCCTTGACACAAAGAAACAGACACAGAGAGTTAGGAAAAATGAGAAGACAGAGGAATATATCTCAAATGGGGAAAAAAAAAAAAAGACAAAAATGACAGTAAAAGACCTATGAGAATTGGGTAAAAATAAAATTCCCGATAGAGAATCTAAAGTACTGATCATAAAGACTCACTCTACTTGAGAAAAGAGTAGAGAATGTAAGTGAGACGCTTAACAAAGAGATAAAAAAGAACAAATCAGAGATGAAGACAACAACAAATGAAATTAAAAATACACTAGTTGGAATAAATAGCAGGCTAGAGGAAACAGGAAGGAATGAGCAACCTGAAAGAAAAAAAAAATCATGCAAAATGAGAACACACTTAGGGAACTCAGTGACTTCATCAAGTGTAATAGCATTTGCAGTATAGGGATTCCAGAAGAACAATAAAAGGGATCAGAAAATTTATGTGAAGAAAAATAGCCAAAAAAGTTTCCAAATCTGGGGAAGGAAACAGATATCTGGATCCAGGAGGCAGATATCCCCCCCAAAACTCAATCCAAGAACATCAACACCAAGACACAAAGTAACTAAAATGGCAAAAATTAGTGATAAAGAATTTTAAAAGCAGCAAGAGAAAAGAAGATAGTTACATACTAGGGAAATGCCATAAGGGTCTGAGTGGATTTTTCAGCAGAAACTTTGGAGGACAAAAGGGAGTGGCAAAAGCCTATTAGTCAAAGAGCTAATAGGAAAAAATATATATATATGCAGCCAAAAATACTCTTTTCAGCAAGACTATCATTCAGAATAGGAGAGATAGTTTCTCAGACAAACAAAAGCTGCAGTAGTTCATGTCCACTAAACCAGCCCTATAAGAAATATTAAGGAAACACCTGGAGTGGGAAGGAAAGACCATAAGTAGGAGTATGAAAAGCAGGAAACACAAAAGCAGTAAGAATATGTAGATCTGTAAAAAACAGTGAAAGAATTCACAAAATAGAAGAATATATACCTATGATATATACCAGGCATATGTCATATATCTGAAACATGGTGGGGGGAACAGTAAGAAGAAAGAATGAGTTCTAATTTAAGTGAAATCTACTGAATATGAACTGCTATATGTAGAAGATGTTCTACATGAACCTAATGGTAACCAAAAATCAAAACACAGTACAGATACACAAAGAATAAAGAGAAAGAAATCCAAGTTTATCAATAAAGTCAGCAGAGTATGAAAGAGAGCAAGAGAAGAAAGGATCACAGAAAAATTACTTTGAAAGTAAGTGGACTAAAAGCTCCAATCAAAAGATACAGGGTGATGGAATGGGTAGAAAAACAAGTCCATCTATATGCTGCCTACAAGAGACTCCTTTCAGAACTGAAGACCCATGCAGATTGAAAGTGAGGGGCTGGAAAAACATTTCATACAAATGGAAGTCAAAATGAAACCAGAGTAGTTATACTTACATCAGATGAATTACACTTTAAAATAAATACAATAGCAAGAGAATAATGATACTATATAATAACAAAAAGAACAATCCAACAAGAGGATACAACAATTCTAAATATTTATGCACCCAACATGGGAGTACCCAAATACATAAAACAGTTAATAACAAACATAAAAGAACTAATTGATACATTAATAGTAGGGGATTTTAATACCCCACTTTATATCAATGGACAGATCATATAAATAGAAAATCAACATGAAAACACTGGCTTTGAATAACACACTGGACCAGATGGATTTCACAGATACATTCAGAACATTCTATGCTAAAACAGCAGAATACACATTCTTTTCAAGTGCACATGGAATACATTCAGAATACATCACATCTTGGGCCACAGACAAGACTCAACAAATTAAAAAATATTAAAGTCATACCATGCATCTTTCCTGACCACAATGCTATGAGAAAAGAGATCAGTGACAAGGAAAAAAATCTGGAAAGAGCAAAAATAATGGAAGTTAGGTAACATGCTATTAACCAATGAATGGATAAACCAAGACATAAAAGAAGAATAAAAAATTACATGGAGAGGAATGAAAAATGAAAACATAATGGTGGAAAACCTTTGGGATGCAGTGAAAGTGGTCCAAAGAGTGAAATTATAGCAATACAGGCCTACCTCAAGAAGCAAGAAAAATCTCAAATAAACAAACCAACTGTTTATATCTAAAAGGATTATAAAAAGAGGACCAAACAACACCCAAAGCCAGCAAAAAGAAGGAAATAATAAAGATTACAGCAGAAATAAATACTAATAGAAACTAAAATTAAAAAAAAAAAAAAAGAATGAATCAATGAAACCAGGAACTGGTACTTTGAAAAGATGAACAAAACCGATAAACCTCTAGCTAGACTCATCAAAGAGAGAGAGAGAGTGACAGATAGTGAAAGGACAAATAAAATCACAAATGAAAAAGGAGACTAATAACTGATACTATAAGAAATACAAATAAGTGAAAATTATAAAAAATTATATGCCAACAAGTTGGACATTCTAGGAGAAATGGACAAATTCCTAGAAACATACATCCTATGAAAACTGAACCAGAAAGAAAATCTGAACAGATTTATAACCAGCAAACAGATTGAATCAGTAATCAAAAAAATCCCAAAAAACAAAAGTTCAGGACCAGATGGCTTTAAAGATAAACTCTACCAAACACTTAAAAAGAGTTAATACCACAGTTTGGTAATTGTGGCCATTGCTGCAACAAACGAATGGATAAAGAAGATATGGTCCATATATACAAAGGAATATTATGCCTCCATCAGAAAGGATGAGTACCCATCTTTTGTATCAACATGGACGGGACAAAAGGAGATTATGCTGAGTGAAAGAAATCAAGCAGAGAGAATCAATTATCATATGGTTTCACTTACTTGTGGAGCATAAGGAATAACACGGAAGACATTGGGAGTTGGAGAGGAGAAGTGAGTTGGGGGAAATCGGAGAGGGAGAC